AGCCACCAAGATGGGGTGTGCAAGGATGAAGTCCTGGTTCAGAGGCTACCAGGTTGTCTGAGACCACCTAATGTCGCATGCAAGTAGATCTCCCCACTTTGGTCATACCAGTCCGTTCATTCAGGCCCTGTCTGCTACATCTTCACTCTCAGCCGGTTAATCCTGCCAGATGCCTTTTCTGGAGTTCACAGCACACTGTGCCTGCAACAAAGCAATTGTGCTAATCCTGCCGTATCAGCTCTGTGGCCCTGTCCTGTAAGGTGAAGGTGGGAGAGGGGTACCTAAGATTTTTGTCTGGATCTCTCACCTGCTCTGGTGTCCGCCCTTCCTTGTCTTTTTCTTTCTTTTTAAATTAATATGCTTTTCATCGGATGGACCTAGAGTGAACCATAGCTTTGGACATCTGCCAAGGTCAATGCTTTGTGATGTCAAAGCTCTTGGTGATCTCCAAACTTTTTCTAGCAGCCCCACACAGCCATCAGCTAAACATGCGAAGGAAGGCTTAGCTATCTTAGGTCTTTCTAGGCTGATGGCAGAATCATTAATACGGGGCGTAGAAATATGGCTTCTGCCATCAGCAGACAGGGAGGAGCATGCCCAGGTCCCGTAGGATGCTGTTCCTCCAGTCCATGGTCCAGGGCTGTTAAGGGGATTTGAACCTGGGTTTATCCCCAGAGGATAGTCCAGAATTTTCCCAGAATTCAGGAAGCCCCGGGTGTGGTGGTGCATGCTTATAATCCTGGTACCAGTAGGTAGAGGACCTAGGGTGTAAGTTCAAGGCTCTCTTCAGCCAGACAGTTGAGTCTGAGGCCAGTTTGGGCTGCATGAGACCCTGCTTGTTCATAAAGAAACAAACATCAAAGCAAACCCCAGGGAAGCTGCCTCCTGCCTCTGGCTTCGAGCAAGCTGTTTCCTCTCTAGCCTTCATGTGGCTCGTTTGTAAAATGGTCACACCATAGACCCCCTGCATATGACAGCTGTAGGGATTTAGTTGCTGAGACATGTTAATCATACAGACTGACACTGGCATGCACTCAGCAAACATCAGGTGGATCTGGAAAGTAACCATTTGTAGCTTCCTGTGGTACCTACACGGAGTACATGATGAAACTCCACACAGGCATGTCTTTGAGGGTCTTCAGAGGGGAACCCTACTCTCCTGTCTGTTCATTACAGAAACAGCAATGAGGAGACCTGTCTACATCCTTCTTACCATGGTGTGGTCTTCTGCATTACCCTGGCAGACTTTGATGGGCACGGGGGGTGGGGGGAGGCACTGCAAGGGAAATATGCACAGAACCTGTGATTCTATCCCAGCCCCCGGGTACTTCATCAGCTACTGTGACCCTGGGCAAATTAGTCAACCCAAAGCAGGAGGATCTTGAGTTCCAATTCCAGGTTAGCCTGGGATACATGGCAAGATCTTGCCTCAAATAAATAAATGAATAAATAAATAAATAAATAAAAAATAGGTGAGTGGCACACTTCTACCGGCACAGTAAGTAAATGCCCTCAAGTAATGGCTATTAGGACTCTGTAGCTATGGACTCCTCTGCAAGGCACCAAGGCTGGTTTTTAAACCCCCGTTCACCAGCCTTCTAGACGCTCCATCGCATTACATGGAATGTGGAAGGAAATCCACCATATAGCGCCTGGCTTCCGACTCCGGCTAAGGAGGTAAAGGGCCTGATTATTGTCTCACTGTGGACAGGTGGCTTGTGTCTGAACATCCTAAGCCCCACATAGCCTGTCTATGTGATTCGAGCACGTGAAGGGGTGCTCTTACATTATGGTATTCACGTATAGATTTGAAACTGCCCCAAGGGTGACATAGCTGGTTATGTACTGGGTATGAATGCCCAACATCTTTCTGATGACATTAAGTGCAGGACATGTGTCGGGGCAGGGTTTTCTTTCTTGCCATGAAGACAGAATTACTTTGCTACAAGGAGGTGCTGTATGCTGCCCTGCGTGGCCCAGCCACTCCCACACCTTTCTCCTTCCTCTCCTGGATCCTGAGGGAACTCCTAAGAAACAAAGTCCCATAATAAGTTGAACCCATAGTATATCCTTACCATCAGACTTCACACCACATTCATTACCTCTTCTTCAAAACAACAAAAAGACCATTTATTTGTTTATTGTGTGGGGGGTGAGGAAGGAGCTTGTGGGACTTGGTTCTCTCCTTCCACCATATGGTTCTGGAGAAAGTGCCTTTAGCTGCTGAGCCATCATGCCACCCCCCCCCAATTAATTTTCTTATTTAGTTTCACCTAGAGTGAGACACTACTGTTTTATCAGTTTCCCACCCAAGGAAACAGAGACACGGGTGTGGTAATCAGCTTAGCCACAGCTGCAGCTAGCAGATGCTACAGCTACAGAGAGAGGTGTGTGCCCCGGACTGCTGGCTCTAGGCCACTAGGCTGTAACGTGCATCTCTGGTGCGACGTCATGGCTTCTACGGGGCACGAGTTTCATCTGGCATTTCTTTATTCTAAGTTGTAGTCATGTTCCCTTTACTGTATATTTGTAAGACAGTGTCTCACGTATCTCAGGCTTGCCTCCAACTTACTACATACATAGCTGAGGATGGTCTTGAACTTCTGATCCTTCTGCCTGCAACTCCCAAATGCTGGGATTATAAGTGTTCATCATCATGCCATGTTTATACAACACTGGGGATTGAACCCATGACTTTGTGCATTCTAGACAAGGACTCTACCAACTGTTTTGATGAGTATTGTACTTAGTTTTTTGGGGGGGGATAAAATGATGGTATCTATATAAAAAGGGAGGGTAAAATTAGACAACCCCAATACCTAGCACACCATAATGATTAGAGCAGGAATACACACACACACACACACACACACACGCACATGCACACGCACACATGCACACATCTTAACCTATTTTTCACTTGCCAATCTGTTGAGTAAAATCAGTCAGCAATACCATGCTAATTAAAACATGATGGAATCAGACTATTTGCAAAATTAGCAGTTCTGATTGTCTGGCCTCAGTGGCCCAGGGGAGGCCCACTAAAGCCTGCTTCTGTATTGTCTTATCATGAATCGGTGCTGTGAAGACGGTTTCTCCATCGTGGTCTGGAGCAAGCCTTGCCTACCTAGCAGACCGCAAACATCTCTGAACTTTGTTCACCGGATAAGAGGCGACATTAACTTCCCATTAGCCTCTCTGCACGTTTCCTCCAGAAAGATCAATCACACTCCAAGCCAGACACATGGCCCTGGCGCATAATTCATCTTGGGAGGTAGGAGGCATAGCCGTTCTGTGATGGATCTAGGAACCGGGAGCAGCTTTGGGAATGGGAGCAGAGGAAAATTAGGTTTAGGAGCAGAATAATAAGTAGGGCTTTGAGAGAACACTGCTTTGTGTCATGTGGTTAATTCACTGTCAACAAATTTGCTTTTTGCATGCATGCTACTTTTGAGCTTACGATGCTTTATTTTCCACACCTCAGATTTGGTGTCTTATGTGTGTGCATGTATATGTGTATGTGTGCATGTATGTGTGTGTGCGTGTGTGCATGTATGTGTGTGTGCATGTGTGTGCACGTGTGCATGTTTGTATCCCTTTCTCTTTTCAGCCAAACCAGTGTTGGCTGTGCTTCATGTCTTTGGCGTCCTAGGGGCTGAGTAGGGGACAGAGTGCTTAGTGTTCCCTACTCAAATAATTCAAATATGGCCATTTCAAGATGTCCTGACTTTGCTGTTGAAATCTTGCTTTTCTGACTCTGCCCCTGCTCCCTGCCCCCTGCCCTCTCTCCCCATCACTGTCCTCATCTCTGTCCTGGGCTTGTTAAGGGCGGGATGACAACAGGAAGGGAAAACCCCATAGGAATCTATCAACCCCGAGGAATTGTGGGATGAAGGGTTCTCTAAAGGGTTGTGGGCTCCTTGTCTCCCCTGAATCATGTTTGTTGCTATTTTAAGGACTAAGCAGCACACAGGGGAAACTTGCTTCCTAGAAAACCAGTCCCTGAGAGCCTCCATCCACACACATAAGAAGCTAATTCCCTTGGAGCTCTAGTAGGGTTCTGCTGAAAGCTACCTCCATGCCACCCTGAAATTCCTGGGAGACACACTATTTTAGTGACATGCCCCCTGGGTAAAGAGAGTTGCTGTCTGTACACATCTCTGGAAATCCATACCCCTTCACCAGCCCAGGGAAACATATCGTAAGGGGCAGACCGACATATACCACAAATACAAACCGTTCACAACTAAGATAATTCCTCTTAACCATGCTGACCACAGGTCATCACCTACAGGTTCCCTGTCCCATCAGAACTTCCAGGGGCGTCCCAGACCTTCTGGAAGACTCCAAGCCCAGACAGAGAACGTAAGTCTTTGTCCCTTCCTGTGGTGGTTCTAGGCAATGCCATTTCCACAGCACCAAATGCTCCCTTTTCAGATAAAATACACCAAGAAGAAGCTGGAAGGAGTAGATTTTCTCATGGCAGAAAAGAAGCTGCAGTTGGGGTAAGGGGTTCTGAACCAGCAGCAAGCCCTGAGCTGCCTGCCTGGCTGACCGCATCTCTTTAGCAGACCCTCTCTCCCCTCCAAAGCCCCACTTCCTTCCTAGAGTTCAGCTGTGGAGCCTGAGATGCTTCTCTTAAAAGGTCCCATGACTTCTGTCATGGCAGGTTTGCAATCTGTCCAGTGTTTCTCTGAAAAAGTAGTCACAGAGGAAGACAAATCTTTAACGATGGAGCACTCACAGATTCACAAGGGATATCCCGCTCTAGTACAGAATAAGCTGCCAGCAGCCACAACCAGTGCTCAGGGACAGCTTCTGAGAACGGATGAGGCAGCCCCCACCTCTCATCCTCAGCCCTGAGCTGGGACAACAATGGACCACGGGCTCACTCCCACAGTGTCACTCATATCACTTTCAGACCCGCTGGCACACTGCCCGGCCACTGCTGAGGAACAAGACCAGCAAGGGCAAAGGTTAAGTCTCAAGTCCACGCTGCTTCAGGTGGCTCAGCCATCTCCTGGGCACAGGGACTGCTGGCCTTGCAGACCATGACTGGACTTCACTGGAATATTGCTGCAGCGGCAGTAGCTGAGGACCCACTGCAGCCAGCACGACTGAGGTCCCTTGGAGTCCCTGACTATCCACGACACCTCAACAGTGTGTTTAAGGAGCTGGGGAAATGGCGCAGTCAGGAAAGTGCTTCATGCAAGGCCACAGGACTTGAGTTCAAGCCCTCAGACCTCAGATCTGCAGGGCTGGCTCACCTGTATTACAGGTGTTGAGGGGTGGAAGATGAGAGGCTTCTGGGGCTTTCTCAACAGCAGCTCTAGCTCAGTCAGTGAGATCCTGTTTCCAAAAAATAAGACAATGACTCCTGAGAAATAACACCTGATATTGATCCTTCTTCTCCAACTCACATGTGCACACGTGTGCATGCACACAGGAACACTCTTGAGAAACCACACCTGATGTTGATCTTTATTCTCCAACACATTTGTGCACACATGTGCATGCACACAGGAACACTCCTGAGAAACCACACCTGATATTGATCCTTCTTCTCCAACACACATGTGCACACGTGTGCATGCACACAGGAACACTCCTGAGAAACCACACCTGATATTGATCTTTCTTCTTCAACACACATGTGCACATGTGTGCATGCACACAGGAACACACACACACACACACACACACACACACACACACACACACACACCTGAGTTCTGAGAACAGAAGGCAGCTCACTGCACATAGAGGCGTTCTTAGGCCTGAATAGAGTCATGGGAGGAACAGGAAGGTGAGACGCACAAGTGAGAGACTATTAAGGGAGTCACATGACTTCCCTGGTAACACTATTAAAGACAAATCTCTGTATAAACGTTGATATCATTAAATAAGAAATACTTAGACAACAATCCCCGAGACTTTACTCAAAGTAAAGTCTTTCTGTCAGAAAGGGCAGCAAGGACATCAAAACGCATCTCCACTCTCCAGAGATGATGTATTACCTAGAAATGCTACAGCCTATGCTGGCCTGGGCTCCACCTGTGCCTCAGTTCCCCCATTTGATAAAAAAGGGGTCAGCCACACCTCTGAGTCCCAAAATCAAACATTATGTGACTGGTCTAAGGCTATAGATGTCACCAATTCAGACCCCACCAGCCGGCACAGAATTGACCCACTGACCTGTGGGCACAGCAGAGCTCTCCAGTGTCTTCCCGAAACCGTCGCATTCTTCATTCTGCAAGAAATTTCCAGAAATTAATCATCCACGCCGTCACCCTATCGACTCAGCCAAAGTAACCTTGGAACGCAGGTGAGTTCATGGCCAATGGAGAGGGTCCCTGAATTACTACTGGCCTGATCTGATGCTGGGCCGCAAAACTGAGGGCTAGATGGGGGACACGGGAGCTCTGCCAGCCAGAGGACTTCACGCAGGGCTCTTCCCGGTGTGAGCGAGTTCTTTGACAAAGAGACAGGGCACAGCTAACACTATCAGCGTCCTCTGGAGTACCTCTCAGTTCCTGTTTGACTCAGGGCTTCAAGTAGCATGCTTTCCTGGGCCTTTGAGCACAGGCAGAGAGAGCATGTGGAGTTCCTGCTGTCGGGCTGGGGCACAGGGTCCGTGTTTGTCTCTGACATGGACTTTTCCAGCCCCCCCACCTCCTAACACCTTACACATCGCTAGACAGAAAAGAAAATGGCGCAGCTCCGTAGACAAGGCACCAAAAGGACAACCTAATCAATGGCATTCCGTCACCTCCTCCCTCCTAGAGGCTCCACAGACTACAGAACTGAGGGCTCATAAAGAGAAACTTACAGAAAAGCTGGGAGAAAGGAAAGAAATCCCACAATGGTGTCTTCTGAGCCAAGAGACAGCACACCTAGTAACTCTGGTCACAGTTTTGTTTCCATTTTGCAGACAGGGGGACTGAAGCGGAAGAGCTTGAAGCAAGCTTTCCCGGGGGCATTCTGTCGGTCCTTATGACAATCACAAGCTGGAAGGGGCGGTCCCTATACTGCAAGCATCTTCCCCATTCCCTCAAAGCATCCTTTGACTTAGGGCTGACACGATTTCTTTACTGCTACAGTGGAGTCACAACAGGAAAAGAGAGCAAAGCAACTCCTTCCCAGAGTTTAACTAGACTAAGTCAACAGGGGCTTTGGGTGGACATGCTGTACTTCGAGGGTCCTCAGGGGGCACCCGAAGAGACCTGAATACTTGGGGTGGAGGGAAAGGGTAGCAAGACAGACTTTGCAATTAACCGAGTCTCCCTCCTTGAATGTAGGAGAAATAGGTAAGTAAAGGTTTATAGCCACTTTCATTTACCACAGTCAAAATGCATGGCTGCGAGCTCACACCGGTGTCCCTGTCCCCACAGAAATAAGCCCTAACAACACAGTGAGTTGTTCCTAAGACAACTGTGTTGGACAAGCCCTGTGGGGTGGTTCACACTCCAACAACCACTCATAAGTAATGCCTCTGGGCACAGGGTCCCTTCTTTCATGGGATCCATGACATTCTTGGAAATGCTTCCCTTCCCCCCCCCCATATCAAAACTTGGGAAGACAGCTGGGTGTGGCGGGGAAACATCTGTGAATCCCAGTGCTCGGGAGGCAGCATCAGATAGATGGCCTCAAGTTTAGGGGTGCACAGATTAAGGCTCTCAGGGTAAAAGCAATGGGCCGTGCTATACAATCAATGCTACTAACACAGAACACATTTTGGAGCCCAGTAGCCAGCAGCTGAGAGCTTGCCTCTCACCTCTGCCTCCCTGTGACCTATCATCCCTTTTAAAATCAAAGAACCCCTCTGTACTGGGTGGCTTTGTGTGTCAACTTGACACAAGCTAAGATCATCAGAGAGAAAGGAGCCTCACTTGGGGAAATGTCTCCTTGAGATCCAGCTGTAAGACATTTTCTCATTTAGTTACCAATGGGAGAGAGCCCAGCCCATGGCGAGTGGTGCCATCCCTGGGCTGGTGGTCCTGGGTTCTATAAGAAGGTGGGCTGAGCAAGACAGGGGAAACAGCTTCCCTCCACAGCCTCTGCATAAGCTCCTGCCTCTGTGATCCTTCCCTGTTTAAGTTCCTGTCCTGACTTCCTTCAGTGATGAACAGCAATGCTGAAGTGTAAGCCCAATAAACCCTTTCCTCCCCAACCTGCTCTTTGGTCATGGTGTTTCATTGCAGCAATAGAAACGCTAAGACACCATCAATGGCAGACCCCTCACCTGGTGCCCAGCCACCTGACACTCTGCTTTGAGGCTGTTCTCCTCAGCCACACATCACCCGGAATGGTTGTAAGAGACACCCCCAGGCCTGCTGTGGAGACAGACTAAAGAAGTGGACTTGTCGGGTGCTTATGACAAATCCACCGCACAAATGTATTCTCAGGACATTCCATATACGCTGTGCCAAGAAAGTTTGGAAGCAGAGCCTGGAGTCCCACTTCAGCCACTCAGCACCCCTGTGCCCTGGGGGCAGATACCTTCTCCCCTTAAGGCTGAGTTAAGGCTCTCAGACCCTAATTCTTCTGCCTTTCCAGGGACCCCTGGCATTTCTGCCCGCGGTAACAGTTCCCAGGAACTGAAAGTCTCTGACAGATAGCTTTCTATTTTAGTGTCTTGCTGGAGGTGTAATCTTGATTTCAAAACTGAAGAATTTGACCCGCAGACTAGGGAGGAAGGAGCCTGAAGCAGGGCTCGGGAGTTCTTTTACCAGACCTAGGAGCCTGAGTTAGTTCATCAGTGTGCTGACTGAACCCAGTGTGCTGACTGAACCCAGAAGTCCAAGGCCATTTCCTCCTGCTCTCTGGATTAGTCTTTATGGGCTGGGACCTAAGATATAATGTTCACACAACCTTCCTGCCCCAAACACTGGAGACACAGCCTCGAGAAATCAGCAGTAACATGGTTCAGGGCTGCTGAGGAGGGACAGAAGCACTAGGCCTTGGAGGTTCTAGAGGCTGGAGGGTCTAGAAAACACCACCAAGCCCCACTGTTCATACACAGCTTCACTCCTAACCCTGTAGTCATCTGGTGTGCTGGCTGGTTTTATGTCAACCTGACACAAGCTAGAGTTATCTGAGAGGAGGGAACCTCCACAGAGAAAATGCCTCCTGAGATCCAGCAGTGAGCCATTTTCTTAATTAGTGATTGGTGGGGGAGGTCCCAGCCCATTGTGGGTCATGCCATCCCCAGGCTGGTGGTCCTGGGTTCTATAAGAAAGCGGGTTGAGCAAGCCGGTAAGCTCACCCCTCCATGGTCTCTGTATCAGTTCCAGCCTTCAGGTCCCTGCCCTGTTTGAGTTCCTGTCCTGACCTCTTTCATGATGAACAGCAATACAGAAGTGTAAACTGAATAAACCTTTTCCTCCCCAACAGAAACCCTAAGGCTGGGCATGGTGGCCTACACCTTTAATCCCAGCACTCAGGAGGCAGAGGCAGATGGATCTCTGTGAGTCTGAGGCCAGCCTGGTCTACAGATCAAGTTCCAGAACAGCCAGGACTGTTACAGGGTTTCTCTGTCTCCAAAACCAGAAAACAAAACCCTAACTAAGGCATGGGGTAAGACAGAATCATCGCCCTAGTTTGAGAGTGAGAAAACAGAGATACCCCAGCCCCTGCATGTGCTTCCAGCGGTAGGAGAGCCAGCCGGGGTGCCTGGCTTCGAGACCCCCGATGGTGAGCCTGCAGCAGCGGACCCCAGCACAGTAGGGAGAGTGGGTAGGCTCTGGCTCAGACACGGCTGCAGAAGGTTCCTTCCTAGCAGCCCCTCCCCTGCAGAACACCAGTTCCAAATGTACAAAGCGGCCATCTGCGGTGGACTCCGCTCTTGGAAGTCATCTTAGACTTTAAGGATAGTTATTGACCAGAGCACACAAGACTAAAACACCTAAAAACTCAGTATTGGTGCAAGTACAAGGGGCACTTCTTTCCCAGTTGGTAGTTACCTTATTTTTATTTTCAGTTTTCGGCAACAGGGACAAATAAGTTTCTAAATTATATTTACAAACTTTGTGTGTATATGTGTGTGTGCGTGTGTGTGTGTGTGTGTGTGTGTGTGCATGCACATGCCTGCCTGTGTCTATGTCTGTGGAGATGAGAGGACACCTTTGGGTTCCATTCCTCAGGAACTATCCTTGTTTTTTGAGGGTCTCTCAATAGGACCTAGGGCTTGCTCACTACATTAATTGGCTAGTCAGTCAACCCTAGGGACCTTGCCTCCCCAGTGCTGGCATTACAAGTAAGTACCACCGTACCCCATTTTCCCTGCGGCTTCTGGGAATTGAACTTAGGTCTTTATACTGTGGGAGAAACATTTTACCATCTGAGCTATCTCCCCAGCTCCGCATCCAACTCCCCACCTTTTGACAAAGTGACTTACTATACAGCCAAGACTGGTCTCAAACTCATGACCCTCCCACCTTTGCCGCATCTGCTGCCTCTGCTGCCTCTGCATCCCATGTGCTGTGGCTACAGGTACATGTGTCTGACAGACTCCTTGTGAAAAGCAAGCTTTAGAAAGAGCACGGGACTAAGGCTGATGCTTAAGCGAACTTCCTGGCTCAGTAGCTCCCCGCTGTATGCATCTCAGTGTCCTCTCGGGTAGAATGAGGACAGTGTGTCCCTTCGAGGGCTGCTGGGAAGACCACTCCAGATGATGTGGGGGAGCAGGAACCATCATAGAGCACCAATGAGAACAGGGGAACCCAGAGTGTCTTAGTTTTAATCTTCTTACCTTTGGGACCTCTGTTCTGGTCACAAAAAGGGAATTTTTCTCCACCTGATCCATGATTTCCTGTGAGAATTCCCTTTCTGATTCAATGTAAGAAGCTGGGCTCGATACTACAGAACATGTTATTCAGAGAACACAGCAGCAAAAACGCACGTAAGCACCAAAGCCAGGAGGACAGACACTGCTACTGTGAGGACACCCAGGTAGCCTGTCAGGCTCTGCTCCTGAGGATTAACGGATCCAGGCATTAACTGTCAGCCACGCAATGAGAAAATTAGTCAGCAATTCCCAGTGACAGCTCTTCTTCCAAACAGTAAGAGAATAATCAAACACTAAGTCCCTGCAGTCAAGCTGAAGAGGGGACCTGAGGGGTAAGTGACCTGCCAGTCACTGGGAAGGAGAGACCAAGCTCTGCGGCAGCTTCAGGCTTTATTGAATTCCCAGGATTATCAGGGTCTGGAAATTCTGAATTCAAACCCCACAAAGGCAGCGCGTGGCATGAG